TAATAATTCTGTCACATTTGCTTCACTATTGATAACTTTTGGTAGAAAACGTTTTTTCTTGGTGAGAGGAGGAGAGAGGAGGGGGAAAACAGGAGAGAGATAAGAATAAAGGCTTTCAAAATCAAGAAGAGATGACGAGATTTTCGTACTTGAGGAAGCAACTTTCCAAAATATGATTCATAGTTTGTGATTTTAAGATTTGGCGGAGAAGTCGCATTTTTTTTTCGTTTACACATTTCTCAACGTCATTTTGATGATATTGAGATGAAAATTTCAGTTTATCAGTTTAAAAAATTGATCGCTTAATTTATACGAAAACACTACTTCGAGGGTATTAACACTCACTGTACGAATTTACCGTACCTATGCCATTAAACATAAAATAACATGTTATTGAGAACTGAAATCGCCAGTGCGACGATTGGCTAGGGATCGTCAATAAAAACAGGAACGTCGCAGTGAAGGTGTTTAAGAGATTTCTCGAGAATGAGAAATGGTGGTAACTGGGGAAGGAAATAAGTAGATAATCAATCAATGCTGATAAAATTTGAAAGCAGATGATGATATGAAGGATGATTAGAGAAAGATCAAATAACTAAGGTAAATTGTTTAGACGAAGATTAATGTGAGATAAAAAGCGCCAATTTCTGCATTATAGTAAGATTGCAAAAAAAGAGTAATTTTTCATTTTTCATTGTGTCAATTTGTGTTTCGCAACATTTGATTCATATTGCACGTCCACATAACAAACCAGCTTTATGGCTTCTCTATTGATTATTTCATAACTCATTTCTTCCCAAATATCAATTTAAGTCCAATATTCCATGTAGTCTAGCTTTGTCTTCACACGATGTACTACTTAGTGTTTGTAATTTTCATCAATATTATTAATGAAAGCTATAAATAACTGCAAACAATTTTCTTCGATGTGAAAATTGAACACTTCAGAATGTCCACGTATGGATATGTATTTGACGTTTGGATATGTATATATGGCATAAAGATTGATTAAATGGATGAGCGGTATGGAATAATGCTGGCGTTAATTTGAAATCACAAAACTGTTTATAGTTGTCAGACCTCTAGATTCTTGCTAAATTCTAAACTCCGATATTTTGCTTAAATGTTGAATAATCATCTCTCATATGATTTACTTCAAGAGCAACAATCAATTTTCAATGTTACTCATCAAATACTGACATTTTCATGAATCTTTTTTTGTTCTCAGGAATGTCAGCATCAGTTCCGTCACGAACGATGGAACTGTTCTACACCATATGGCTCCGGTTACTTTGGTCCAGTTCATAAAATCGGTTAGCTCTTCAAACTATTCATCCCAACAAGTTTTGCATTCCAAATAGAGAACTCAGCAAATTAAACACTTGCAGCTGCTGTTACAGAAATCAAGCGAACAACACATATTTTGTGAAAAAAAAACATTTTCAGGTTCACGAGAAGCTGCTTATACATATTCGATTCTGTCAGCCGGTGTAACGCATGAGATAGGACGTAGATGTCGTCTCGGTTTGTTACAGTCGTGTGGTTGTAGTCAAGCACCACGGCCTAGTACGGTTAATGAGAAATGGACTTGGGGTGGTTGTGGTGATAATATTGAATATGGCTACAGATTTAGCCGTGACTTCATCGATGTTCGAGAAAAAGAAGAGGGTTTCCCTAAACGCTCCACTGATCACGGACGTTCACTGATGAACCGATGGAACAACGAGGTTGGCAGGCGGGTAAGCTCTTTTCTTTCTCATTCATTACTAAATAAATTATTCAAAATCATCCATAAAAGTTTTTTGCTTGGCTTTCACTTTCTATTTGTAAAAATATTTCTTTTAAAGCCACTCATATTTCAAAGTCATTTCTTCAATTTCAGGTCAGTGTACAGATATTGTGAGAAATCATTTTAAAGATTATATTTTCACATATTTCTTGTTCTTTAATAAGGCTAATTTTTAGTTGCTGAAACGAAATACTCGTCCAAAATGCAAATGTCATGGAGTGAGCGGTTCTTGTAACATGAAAACATGCTGGATGCAGTTGCCAACTATGCGGCAAATGGGAGCCGTTTTACTGGGAAAATATCATACTGCTAGACGAATTCAGGTGATAATTGATTTCTTCAAGATATAACCTTATTTTTATTAGGAATGGTTCGGATTACTGTGGTATTATTCACAGTTTAAAGAGAATAATTTCTAGATTAATGCACGCGGTAATATGCAAATTAAAAGTCAACCAGGAAAAAGAGATCGAGAAAGAGGTGGAGGGCGGAAAAATCGTGCTTTACAAACAGAACTTGTTTTTCTGGATGACAGTCCTGATTACTGTGTAGAAAACAGGGCACAAGGGACAGTGGGCACCACAGGGCGGATATGCAGGTTTTTTTTTTCTTGTAACTACCGTAGGATTAAATTTATTACGTTTGATTTAGGGTCAGCTCTATTGCTATCATTGATAAATAAATTGAAGTGCACAAATATTTCAACAGGAATAAATCCTTAGGTCAAAGTTCTTGCCATAGCATTAGCTAGAGCATAGACGACGAAATAAACGCCATTAGAGGAGGAAAAAGGATTCGTATAAGGTCACAGCGGCAGTCAATGCGCACTAATGTCAGAATTACTTCCAGTTAAGTATATGAAATTGCTGCAGAGGCCCGTTCATATCAGCAGAGATAAGTTAATAATGCACCGATTAACGCACCAGGAAGATGGTACCTGTTAGCGTGTCATGAAATTTGTAATCTTCCTCATCATATTTCTTTCATTTAGCTTTTCCTTTTTATTTCAGGAAAGGTTCGCATGGTTCCGAAAGTTGCGACTTTCTCTGTTGCGGTCGTGGTTATAATAGTTATACAAAAGAAACGGAAACAAAATGCAAATGTAAGTTTCAGTGGTGTTGCAGAGTGGTGTGTCAAACATGCATCAATCAGACACAGGTGGATATTTGTAAATAATTCGAGGCAACAAACTTCCTTACTCGTCCTTCAATGAAATATGCATCTTCATTTTAGCTCGGGGATTTTATAGGAAACATTATTTGTACCACAGTTAACTTTTATGCTATTCACTACTACGTAGCTTTAAACTTTGTGGAAATTTCCTTTAATTTCAACATTCCACATTTAGCAACTGAAATTTTTCAATGTTTTCTCATATTTTTGGTGGACCTTTTGAGTTAAGTAAAAAAAATTGCTTTTTTCAAATAAGTCCGCATATACTTTATTTGAATTTGAAATATTTCAAAATACCATTTTAATTTACATAGCACTGTAATCGTTTTAATTCCCCTAGTCCATACAGCATTCCACTGCCCTTTTTTTAATATTTTTCCACAATTTTGCATTTTATTTATTTGTTTGCCACTGTCTGTGCTTCAATAACTTGGTATTTAGTACTGAAGAACATCCTTTCCTTGACCTCTTTTTTGTTCTAAAGCTGCAACATCTCTAATTGTTACCTTTTGGGTTCACACAAACTTTTTAGCTGAGCATATTTTTATTTCTCTGCTGTCAAAAATTCATCACTTTGAAAAACTCGGAATTATCGGTTGAAAGTTAAGAACAGAAAAATTTTCTCGACTGCTTAAATTCAAAATCAGGTTAGAGAGGTTGACTTCAGCTAATTCTAAAGTGCAGTTCAAGATTTATGTATTGTGTAAATGCTTTTTCATCGACCTCTTAGTTATCAGCGTTGTAAAAAGTTACCTCACTCATTTCATGTTTTTTTATTATGACTTAACATAATGCAAAAAAGTCTCATTTGAACCAAAAAGTAGTCCAGAATTTGTGTGAATTTCATAAACAAATTTTGCGTTTGCCATCGAATACAAGTTTTGATGCATATTTACGGTGAAAATGGAGGATTCAGATGACAATCAACCTAGGATAGTGAGATCTAAAATTATGCTTATCATATATTAATGTCTTAATAAAATTAGAACAAATTAACTGAACACTGGGCGATCTTTTTGGTTATTCTAGAAAGGTGGTGTGACGATTAAAATTTGCTGCAAACATATTAGTTATAATTTTAAGTAAACATGTGATCCGTTCGTATTAACGTTAATCCGGAAAAAAAGATGTAGGTTGTTAAAGTTTCATGTTTTAAATAATAGATTTTAATGGGAAACTGAGATACGTAATGCACTGTCTTTGCTTTTAGCCGCTTTATTATGTTTGTGAGTGTTATTCATCGAAATTTGAAGGATCTCATTTAGTATAGCAAGCTTGTATATTTCGAATGTTTTGGTGATGATAGGGAAAAAGCAACGAAGGTAGCATTTTCTATCTTTCCATCGACCGCTTAGTGCCCCACAAAACTTTTTTTTTGTGGAAAATTGAGTAAGCATATAATGAATAATAATATGAACAGATATACCTAATATCGACATCAGATAATTTGAACGTAGTAGCTTAATTGAAAGTTTAAAATTTCAGAATTTAAAATATCCTTTATTGTCCTTACTAAAAGCAAAGGCTCTGTGAATTATTGTAATTCGTGGCTGTCAATTACAGTTCTTGTGTAGCATTGCTTATGCCGTAAGAGTGTAATGAAATATGTATTGCTCTTGTTTCTAGTCATTTATTTATTATTCAATATTTAGTATTTTGCATATTGCACTTTACTTATGATCACTTTTTAACAGCACTTGTGCACAAGAAAATAGTATTAGCAATTTTCGAGTCATTCAATTTTTGCATTATTTAAATTTTAGAAAAAAATATTTACATGTAAGTGACAGGTCACTATTCTTGACTAGTTGTGAATCAAGCTTCCTCAGGTAATTCCAAGGTATGTAGCTTTTTTATCTAGAAATTGTATTTGTTGTCTATTTCATATGAATTGAGTTCAATTCTTTTGCATTTATGTTCATTTTTTGGACTTTCAGGGTATCCTAGAAAATGTAAATATATCGTACGGCCGCTATGGACTTTAGGTGGGTCAAGATCAAATTTCTTTTGCATAGATTGATAGAACAACATTGTTTAGATGCATTATTTAAATCTGAAAAAGTTTAATATAGATGATCAGCCATTCAACTTCAATTCAAGTTATTTTTTCAGCCTTAAAACAATAATTTGAACTAAATGCTTGACCTTCTACATTAAATTTCTTCAGTTCAAGTTATAATAACTATTACACTTTCAGAAAATAATTTTTACCTGAAAAATTAATAAATTTTTACTAAATTTTATCCAAATTGGACAGATGTTGCATATAGTTGCCGTACGATAAAAATTGGATTTGTTGAAGAAATCACATATTTAGTTGTTTCGATTTTTGATCACTGTTGGCAAACCAAACAGTGAGTATTTCAGTGAATAAGAAGCTTATTTTTAGATGTTTAATGCACTGAAGAAGTTCCTTTAACTGAAACAGAGTTTAGTTTTTGTAAGGACCATTTAACTGAATGTCAGAATCAACACAAATATGGATGTATGTTTTAAATTTTGAAGTTTATGAAATCAATATGCTGCTATTAACCGCTTCGTGTAAGCATTTTCTACGTCATAGTAGCATGGATATTCTTGAAAAGCTTTCTCTCTAAGTAAGATCAAAAGAACGTATAATGCGATAAATTTCGAAAACAGAGTAACTAACTGATTTTAAATATTGTGTATTTCCGCGCTAGAATCCGTCCTCTCAATTTACTTATCTATTGGTGGCAGTGATAAGCAATAGAATGTTCTATTTACATCAGAATGGAAAATATTAAAAGTCAATTATATATGATGTTGTAGAAGGATTTAGTGAGAAATCATCAGATTTATTCTTAACACAAAATTTTGCTTCCTTTTTTTCCAAAATTTTCACACGTTTTCAGGAATTCATTATGATAATTTATCAACTATACTAATTTGTCGCTGTTTACAGCTTGTATTTTGATGCATATAATTGAATGGTCAACTCCCTACAGCATAGGTTTAATTTGAATGAATTTATTTGATTTGACTTATTAGAGAAGAAAGCATGTAAGGCCAAGTGCGCCAGGGAAGGGGTTAAAGCAGCTATGTTAATTTTATTGACCATATGTCAAGGTCGCAAGAGAGCTCTTCAATTGGATGATTTACAACAAGAATGGCGGCTCATTAAGAAAAGCTTTCTTTCTTCTCCTTTATCAACAGCAAACCTCCTCATTCGTTTCTCTTCAGGACAACTCACGTAGCTCATTGGCACGGTAAATCTCCCTTTTCTTCTCCCTTTTTCTTCATCCTTTTAATATGCTTTCTACTCTCTGGTCACTCTTTACTTGTTCATTTAGTCAAAGGTGAGGTCTTAAGATGATCTTTGTTGTGCAAACGCACACACACACACACACACACACACACACACACAC